ATCATTAGCTCAATTGCCCGAACCTGCACACGCCAAACCCTAAACCCTAAACCCTACAAAACCCTAAACCCTCGGTAAAGTTGTTTTCTGTTGCATCTTCAGCTACAACTGCAGCAGTAGCAGCAGCAGCAGAGAGCCTAATAATTATGAGGGTTTAGGGTTTAGGGTTTAGGGTTACCTTACCTTTTTATGCAGATAAAGACAATTAAATAAAGAATATCTTGTATAAAAAAGAGAGAAAATATTATTTATTTCTTGTATATTAAAACAAATAAAAGAATTAATAATTCTTGATTGATTAATAAGACAAAAAGGTAAATAAGGAGAAAAAAAAGAAGAAAAAGGAACGAAAAAAGGAACACAAAAAGAATCACGTAATAAATAATCAAAACGATCTACATCTACACCTGTCCTCCTATTCGCTTAAAAATACACACACACACACACATACAAACCCTAAACCCTAAACCCTAAACCCTAATAAACCCTAAAATAAAAATAAACCATAAAATAAAAAGGGATAAACCCTAAACCTCAACCCTGAAAGATAAACCCTAAATGAACCCTAAAAAATCGCTAAACTAACCCTCATAAATAAACCCTGAGAAACCCTAAACCCTAAACCCTAACCCCTAGAAGCCTCCTAAACCCTAAACCCTAAGAAAACCCTAGTATAGGGTTTCTCACCAACAATATCAAATGATGCTCTATAAAGTTCATCAAGAGGGTCTAGAGAGGAGGGGCCCCTCCAATTAGGAGGGGCCCCCCTAATTAGGGTCTTAATAAGTTGTACATCATCAATTTCTATTTCTTTCTCTCCTCCACAATCAATAAAATCCCCTAAAATATTTTCTGCAATTAATTGGCTCATTTCTTCATGGTGCCATAGAGGACGTGCATGCACTGCTGGATCTGCTGCTGCTGCAGCAGCAGCAGCAGCAGCAGCTGTTGATGCTGCTGCTGCTGTTGCTGCTGCTGCTGATGGATCTCCTGCAGCAGCACCAAAACTACCGCCATAACCGCCAGAAGACGCCGAAGCAGCTGCTGCTGCTGCACGATCTGCAGCATCTTGTGCTGCTGCTGCTGTTGCTGCTGCAGCAGCAGCAGCAGAAGATTTAGATCTAATTATATTAATAAAATCTGATTCAAATAAATGACTAAAAGGACCATGACCTAAATCATGACAAAGCCCCGAAAGTTCAACACAAAATTGCAGACGACGAACTTCTTGGCATGCAGATGTATAATAATTATTCTCTAATAAATAATTGCTGCTGCTGCTGCTGCTGCTGTTGCTGCTGCTGCTGCTGCTGCTGGCGGTGGTGAAGGGGGAGGGGGATGGATAAAATAGCGGCGTTTTTATACTTCTTAGATGTTGTTGAGATAAAGAAGAAAAATAACAACGAGCTAAAAAACCTACACCTATACACAAAATAAATAAATAAATAAATAAATAAATAAATAAATAAATAATATAAATAAATAATATAAATAAATAAACCCTAAACCCTAAATAGATAAATTAGTAGGAGAATGTTGTTCAAATATTGAGTGTGTTGCAGAAATAAAGACATACATAAACCCCAAACCCTAAACCCTAAACCCTAAACCCTAAACCCTAATTACCAAGAGAGTGTTCAAATCTTGAGTGTGTAGCAGAAGGGAATACATATTTACAAACCCCTAATTGATGTAAATGATGTAAACGTCTAAACCCTAATGTGTTTATTATATCATCATAAACCCTTCTTTTATAAGAAACATATGAATATACCTGCATATATACATACATAAACCCTAAACCCTAAACCCTAATGGGTTTATTATGTCATCTTATAAACCCTTCTTTTAAAGGAAAGGCATGAATATACATGAATATACATAAACCCCAAACCCTAAACCCTAAAACCTAAACTGTTGCGGAGGAGTAACGGGGTAAATCATGAACGAACAGTAGCAGCAACAGCACCAAGAACAGCAGCAGCAACAGCAGCAACTGCAGAAGCAACAGCAGCAGCAGGAGCAGCGGACCCTGTCGGGGATCTTCTTATATTCTCTATCTGCGTGTGGCTGTTGCATATGCCACACTCCTTCTAGTTCCTGCTGCTGCTGCTGCTGCTGTTGCTGCTGCTGCTGCTGCAACTTCTGCAGCAACTGCAGCAGCTGCATGCTCTGCATGTAACTCAAACCAAACCGCTCCCTCAGGAAGGCTCCTGCTGCAAATGTGTCTGCTGCTGCTGCTGCTGCTTCTGCAGCACCTGCTTCCTCTCCTTCCCAGTCAACAGCCGGCTGCTGCTTCTGCTGCTGCTGCTGCTGCTGCTGCAGGAGATCCAAGAGGTCTTGGATAGAGAGGCAGCCGCGAGTCACTAGAGAATCGGCTATATCCCTCATGTTCTCCTGCACACACACAAACCCTAAACCCTAAACCCTAAACCCTAAACACTAGGTTCTCTTACTACCACCAGCGAGCCTCAAAAGTACCCGTGATTGAGCATCGTGA